AAAAGCCACCGAAAAGTAACTAATCCCATCCAAAAAACATGAAAGAACTGTGAAGACTTTTTCTTTATCTGTTGATTTTGTGGCTAGATTTTAGCAAATGAAAGGTAATTTTTATATAAATGTCTTATATAACTTTTTCACACTTAATATGAAAAAGAAGCAGTTGATGATCTTGCTTTTGGGTCAGCTTCAGATCTGTTTTGTCACCTATGAGCATTATTTGTAAGCCAACCATAATTAATATGGAGCCTTTTACACACGTGTTGCAAGGAGTGTGGAAACACATGCTCCTTAGCCAATCTGCTGCAGCAATAGAATGAACTTCCCTACTTTCCAATCAGGAATCTTTGAGTGGGTACATCAAGAAGGGTGAAACATGGATTAGGTAGCATGACTGGCAGGACATATCTGCCCTCAGGTGCCTTTGAACACTCTTCTGTTCATGACTCATATACTTCCTTCACAACAGCCAGTGTACCACCCTTGGTAAGTGCATTTGCCAAACAGTGATACAATGTAAAACATTTCTGCTCATTCTTTAAATCACCATTTCCAAAAATGTCCTCAAAAATGTCTTTAAAAACCCAGCTCTTTTGGAGAGGTACTAAATAACTGTGCTATGAAGCAATGTTAGCTTGCACTGTTGTGTGCCTGGTTATCTCATATAAGAAACCTCCTCTCAGCTAAAGATAGAATTAATGGTTTGGTTTATTCTAGAAACATCTTTGTTATTCAGACCGACTCGGAAGCAATACCATTCTGGTGTAACAGAAGATGAAACTCTGAAAGCAAACAAACTAAAGAGGCCATGAGCAATAGAGAGCCTTTGTGTAAAACTAGATATCATGCAAGGAACAGCATTTCTAAAGAGGCCATGAGCAATAGAGAGCCTTCGTGTAAAACTAGACATCATGCAAGGAACAGCATTCCCCCCCCCCCGTACAGTTACAAATGCAGAGGACAGCTCTGCAGTTCTGCAATGATAACGACAACAATGATAAATGACAACAATAGTTGTTGTTGAAGAACTAGCAAGTCACTGAGTTGCTTCACCACTTAGGATCTCCTACAAATGACACTCTCAGTCCATTTTTAATTAATTCTTCGTGCAACTGGACCCTGAAGCCACTGCTGAGACAGGAGAGAAGTTTTGATGGGCGAGGCAATGGTGATTGGAAGGGAATGCCCATACACATGTGAATGTGATCAGAAATTTGGTGGGAAGATGAATGTCTGCACGTGTGTGCTTATGCCTCCAAAAGACATTTGCCTGAATAGGCGTACTAGACATTTTTAAAAGCCCCATATGGCAATGATTGTGCTTATTAATTATGTTATTAATTTGTTTTACAGAACTATACTTTAAAAATAGCACAATTTTAATGAACATTTAAAGAAGCAGATACTTATGAACAAATTACCATGCCAGGAAAAATGTCATAGTCTGTCTTTTTGCCTGTTATGCTATATATTTTTTAAGATTTTTTTCTAATGAGGAAGCAGTCAAATATGCAAATTCTTGTCTTCTATTTGCAAGCTGAAGATTCAGGGAAATCTTTGTTACTTTAATCTTTTAATTGCCTAAACTGACCTCAAACCCAATTAGAAGTAAATGGGCTGAGACAGAATTGTGATTAGATTTCACTGATTTCTGTGGGACCTTTATCATGAATCTATGGCAACACAGTTGCTACTGTGTTTAACCTAGCTAAGAATTCTTCCCTTTAAATTTCTGACATTATTTATTTCTTTTTAAATAGATGCCAGATGATGTTACCTTAGAAAGGCCTTTGTCAATTGCGTTGAAATCTCTTGAACAAATTTTAAATACAACTATGGAGTTTGAATGACATCTGCCATACTACAATTAAGAGTTGGGCAATACTGTAAGGGTGTTGTTACAAGTGAGATATAGAGGGAAGTACATTAGAGTCTTGGTCAACCTTCTGAATGTGGGATTGGATATTTTAAATAGCATGCACATTCAGGGTATTGTTGATTACTACTTTCAAATTATAGATGGAAGAATACAAGACTGGATTTTAAGCATTATATGAACATGCCTCGAAAGTCAGGGACCAAGGGCCAAACTATTTCATAATTCATCAAAAGGTACTGTGAAACACTTTTCTGCCACCAGAACTCCTAAAGTAATGTAGAATATAATACAAAAAAGTTCTTTAGAAACAGTTTAAAAATAATTTTAAAATCCAGTTTTTGAAACCATAGGCTGTACACAATAATACCACTAGGCCACTCACCAGAACCTGAGCAAGGCAGGAAGCCTGTCTTCGTTGCTTCCCCAGCTCCATATTTGTGTACAGTCGTGCCTCACTTTACGATTGCCCTACATTATGACAAATCCGCTTCACAACAATCTTTTCGCAATCACAATTGCGATCACAAAACGATTGTCTGAATAGGGAAATTTTGCTTTGCGATGATCGGTTCCCTGCTTCGGGAACTGATTCTTTGCAAAACGATGATTTTTCAACAGCTGATCGGCAGTTTCAAAATGGCCACCGGGTAATTAAAATGGCTCCCCGCTTTGTTTAGGGACGGATTCCTCGCTATACAGGCAGCGAAAATGGCCGCCCTATGGAGGATCTTCGCTGGACAGTGAGTTTTAAGCCCTTTGGAACGCATTGAAAGGTTTTCAATGCATTTCAATGGGCTTTTTATTTTCGCTTTACGATGTTTTCACTTAACGGCAATTTTCCTGGAACGGATTATCGTCGTTAAGCGAGCCACCACTGTATATGTTAAGTGTGAAGTGAGTCAACATCAAATGTGCATAACAGCCAGTCATAATGCACATCCCTCATATCTTATGGAAGAATATCTTCTTCATCATCTTAGTACTGTGGAACTGGAAGTGTCTCTATGGCTCATTTCAAGGAGCCACAGTGGGGAATTGAATTCCCTACCTTTGTCTCCACAGCCAGGAGGTGAGGTTGAGGAGCCTAATGCTGAGGGAGGCCCGGAAGGAAAAAAGGAAAAAACAAGAAACCGGGCTTTCTTGGCAGTGGCTTTGGAATAAACTCCCCCCTGAGATCCGCATGGCCCCTTTGCTGGGCATTTTCAAAAGCCAATTGAAAACCTGGCTGTTTAAGCAGGCCTTCCCTCCAGCCACTATTTGATTTATTTTTTCTTTTTTCCATCTTGAACAATTGATTACCGACACTGTATATTGTTATATTTTAAACTGTTTTCTTTTTATGTGTTCTTAGCCGCCCAGAGTGGTCAATTGACTAAATGGGTGGGATATAAATACAATAAATAATTAATTAATATATAAATAATCTCATGCCCATTTTCTAATCGCAGATATGATCTCCAAGAATCATTGAGAAATATGTATCTTTTGACAACATTTTATATATCCCTTGGTCAAAATGCCTGATCAGCATAACAAAACACACAAAGGAGATGTGATGGTTGTACATTCTTTGAGCAATACACACAATCTCCAACAACCCTGGGAACTGCACATATTATAGTTGTATATACTGCACTCTCTGCACAACACCCATGACCTCTGCTCAGTAGACTCATTAAAAAAATAATGCCTTTTGTTTCTATTTCTTGTTCAGAGATTTGCCTTTGATTGCCCATAGCCCACACATAGCTCCTGGTTTCATTTTGTAAACTCTCTGGCATTCCTCTTCATAAAAGATGGGGCACATAAATTGCTATCTTAAAGGTACAACCAGCTTAGAACTGGAGCAGAATAGCATCTCTCCATGAAATTTGATGGTGAGGCACTTCCCTTTGCCTGGACTACTAAAGATCAATCTTCTTATTGTGTTTGGAAATACTACATCAGTAAAGAGCACTAGACTTCTACAATACAAATAGTTTTTTTTAAAAAAAAAAATCCAGTTGCCACCTTTATTAATCACCTAACTATAATGGCAATAAAAGTGGAATGTTTGTATTACCAAAATGGAAAATCAAAGTTTGCTTTTGTTGTGTTTTTTTTCCAGTTCCCAGCAAACCTAAGGAGCCTTCAGTGTGAAATCAAGTACCTGAGGAACCACATATATAAGAGATTAGATACTTTGCCTCCATTGCATTTTAAAGCAATTAGCAGATCATACAATTTAAAAATCAAATCATTAGCCTTCCAAGTTTCTCTGCCTGCCAAACAGATTTGAAACTTGCCCAGATGTTTGTGCTTTTGCGGCCTTGTTCCTAAAGATATCGCTAAAGGACCACTTTGGGGGGATGTCCAGGAGCTAAGTATGTCCGACTTCCTTTTTAGAAGAGTATAGCTCTATATACCCTTCTTACACTACCATAAAGGACGACCAAATATTTGTTACTATCGGGGAGCCTCTGTCTTCGAGCACCTGGGCAACCGCTTAAGGGCAGGGTAAGAAATAATCTTCTTTGGAATGAACATTTACCAAGAGGGCAAGAACAGGAAGCCCAGCAGCTATTCAGAGGTAATTTCCCTGGAACAATTTTGTTCGGACGCTTTCGAGATATTTGCCTGCTGGAGTCCATGGAAGAGTTGCGTTTATGGGAAAGATGCTGATGTATATGCATATACACGTGTGTGTGTGTGCGCGCGCGAATATGATTACTGAAAGCCGTGAGATAATTTTTATGTGTGTGTGTGCGCGCGCGCGCGCGCGAATATGATTACTGAAAGCCCGTGAGATAATTTTTTAACATATTTTAAACTATTGAGAGGGCACTGTCTTCCACTCAGGAGGTGTTTCCTGAGGCAGTGGGAGCTGAGCGCGCGCCCCCCTCCGTGCCTTACCTGCCCTGGCACCTGCTGCCCCCCTTCCTCCCGCCGAAAGTGGAGCCCCCACCCGTGGGAGAAAGCAGGGAAAAGCAGGGCGCGCAGCCGGCCATGTAAGGCAGCAGCAGCGGCGGCCTCCCTCAGCATTTACGCGACGCCAGCCTCGCAGGGAGGAGCCCCGCTCGCCGGCCCAAGCGCCTTGGGAGGTGAGCGGACCCGGGTGGGCGGGCACCACCGCCGGCCCTTCACCAATGCCAGGCGGGCAGGGCGGGGCTGCCTCGTTGCCTTTGAGCTGGGTTGAACTGCCTGGATTTGCAGCTGCTGCGGGGCTTGGCGTTTTTTCTGGCTGCTGGGCTCGGGCGACCTCGTAGGGGGTAAAGAAGTGGGACGGCGAGCCCGGCGGCGGAGAGGGCAGGACCTGAAGCCATCCTGAAGCCTTTTTTCTCTCTGACTGGAGGACGTGGAGGTAAGCCAGAGGCGCACCTGGCAATTCCGCGCGCGCGCAAATGTCAGCGCGAGGGGAAGGGGCTGTTAGCATTGGGAACCCCCCCCCCAGCCGGGCTGCCCTTGGAAGCCCTCCAGTTGTATGCCAGTGGTTTCGGTGGGGTGTCAGCCGGGGTAGCAGAGGCAGTGTTTTATTTTAGGGTAGCCGGTGGGAGTTTTGATTAATCGAAAGCTGTGGCTGCCAGGAGCGCGCGTGTTCGTGTTTATTTCTGTCATAGCATCGTCGTGACCACAACGTGCCAAAACAAAAAAATGGCGATGCGAGTGTAAATAAGCCACTGTCATTGGACTCTGGCCGTGAAGAAAGTGTCCCTCATCTCAACGGAATTGTCTTTCCCCTGTGTGTCTCTACCCAAGTCTGAATATTCTGCTCGTTGTGGCTTTTTAGTGTGATGTTTATAGATCTGTACCAAGTCACTTGGCCTTTTGCACAAGGCACTTCCTGCAGAATTGCAGCACCAGGAATATAGAAGCAGCAAATCCACTAAAAACAGACAGCAGACCAGAGGGTCTTTGGAATTGCATGTACAAATGGCACTCGTTTTTGCCACACTCCTATTAGAAGTATCTGTCTGTGCCCCCACATGCCTTTTTTTATGAGGCTTTAATGACTTTTGGTGACTACATTTCTAGATTTTCTTCTATCCTTACCGTACCATCAAGTAAACGGATCCACCTGCATAAAGTTTGGGGCATTAGAAGATGCTAGATGTGCACAGCAGTAGTAATTACCTCTATAATTGATTTGCAAGTAGCTGCAACTCTGTTGCAGCAAAAGAACAGGGCAATATGGCACCTTTAAGAATAGCAGATTTAGTATAGAATTCATTTTTGTGGGACTGTTTTAAAGGCAGACTTTTGAGGGCTCAAGAGTTAATTTATTTGTTTTGTTTTACTTCTATCCTGCCTCTTTTTTAAAAAAATGGAGGATTGAGACCCAATGGCAGATTCTGTGTAGTTGTGCCTTCAAAATTTCTATGGGATTTCAGACATTTCAGCATTATGTAATATTTCTTGCAACGGGCAACGATGCCCTACCTGTGCCAAAATTAGTGAAGACTTCCTCCTCTTTCCCCTTTGATTGTGTTGTGTGTCTTTTCTCTCAGCTGTCAAAGAAAAAGGATTTTGAGAAGCTGTTTGGCATCTGCAGGGGCTGTCAGGCCATAGCTGGGTGGCAGCAGCTGGGAACCATTCTGCAGCTGCTTCTTGTCTTGTTTATCAAGATGGAATCCATTTGGGAACAACTGACAGCTGGATCCTTCAGTGGGGTTCCCTTATCAACCCCATCCCCCAGCATTTTATTTCTCAATTTTGAATAACTGCAACAGCTTCTGCCCTGGAGAGAGGAAGTGAATTGCAGGTTATTCACTCTGGATTACTTTAGTTTCACTTGCTGGTTTCATTCCAGCCAGAGAGAGCAAGCACGAGCAAGAGAGCGCAATGTTTACATGTTTCCTCTGTGTGCTGCTGATCTCGTTGTGCGGCACGTGATCTGGGTTGCAATCCTCAACCAATTCATTCATTCCTCCTCTGGTTCATTGCTTCAGTTAGAGAGTCTGTTGTAGGGTAGCTTGAGGATTGATATCAACAGGGAATGCTTATGCTAAAGCAATGCTTAAATTCTAAGACTGAAAGCACAGTCATGGAATTCATATCCCCTGCAGGGTGAATAGGTAAGATCTCTCCAATGTGACTAAGGCATTGCCCCAAATTTTCAGCTGTCATCGCTGGCTCTCCTGTTTATTCATGTGTAAGGGAAAGTGTGCAGTTCATAAGAGATCTCTTTGCTCAGTGAGATTTGTATTAGCTGCTGTGTTCCAGTGTTTTGATCAGTGAGTGAAAAGGAACTAGGACGACTGGAGAAATACTTGGGCACTTGGGTTTAATATTTTGTTTTAGTTATCTAATAATTACCTTCAAATAGGAAATAGTAAATTTTCTGGTAACAAGCTAGCTTTTCTTCAGTTAAGAAGGGTAGTTGGCTATTCAAGGTTTAGAGGCAGCCACTCTGAACATGCTCAGATACATTGTCATTTTTGTATTTCACGTCTCAGTGCAGTGTTGGGGCACTGGAACAAATATCCTGGGATTAAGGTCTGGTAAAATCAACCTCCTATTAAGCACTATGTTTTAAATATTGATGTAATGACAATTCCCTATTCTGCTTGTTACATATTGACCTAGTTTCATTGAGGTGAGAAGTCTGTACCATTAAATAGACTATACCATTTGAGATTACAAGAGAGGGATTATGCCAAGGAAAGCTGCTGCTGTAGATGTCAGGGAGAACCCTTCTCTCCCCCTCCCCCCCTTTCTTTCTGTCACTTCTGATTTGAAATAGTTCAACCTGAATCCAAGTTTTATCACCCTAGTGAACCTGAGATCTATTTTAGCCACTTGTATGATCTGATCATCAGTATTTTTGGAAAAAAAATAATCTTACTGTGTTTCCCCGAAAATAAGACACGGTCTTATATTAATTTTTGCCCCAGAAATGCATTAGGGCTTATTTTCAGGGGATGTTTTATTTTACAGTTACTGTATGTCATCTTCTAGTTGTTGCACAATGCTGCACAATGGTGGAGGATGTAGGTTTCATTTAACTGGGCCTTATTTTTGGGGTGGGGTTTATATTACAAGCATCCTGAAAAATCATATTAGGGCTTATTTTCAGGTTAGGTCTTATTTTCAGGGAAACAGGGTAGTACCTGGTAAATTAATAATCAGTAATCCAGTAAAAGAAATCTGCTATAAGATACTAACTATGACTTGTATCCATATAATGGGTCCCCTGAAATCAGTGATTAACCCATTGAGTTTTCTGCATCTACTTTTAAGTACAAGAAGGTCTGAATCCAACCCAATGTCTTATTCATAATTTTTTTAATATTAATTAGTTGCTCTTGACAAGAGCAAAGTGGTTTACCCACTCTTCCAAATAAGACTAAAATGTGGCCATTCTAACATGCATTGTCTATTGTGTGTGGAGACAATACCTCTTTCAGAGAGCTGAATAATGTTGTGACACATGCATTGTTGCCTGTGCTTATTCCACTATCTTCTGCATTCAAAGGTTTCCAGGTTCTTGTGATATTCAAAACCTTCACACCCTGTATGGCCACAGATAGTGTGCCAAAAACAAGGTTTGTGTAAACTACTAGAAACTAATGGTGAAGACAGATCAGTATTTTAAGTGTGTGAAAGCAGCTCGAATACACATCTTAAAATGTTACATCAGTCTTCATTATATGTGTCTATCATAGTTTCTTTATATTGTTTAAATATTCTTGTCTATTTCTAGGCTGTGACAGCTTCAGTGTAATAAATGAAAAATAGCTAACAGGTCCATGTAAAATTAAGAGCATTTTTCCACAAGCCTCCATTTGGTGAAGAAACAAGTGTTCCTTGATTTTTATCCCTCAAGGTTATTAAAAAGGATGATTAATACAGTACTGTACATCTGTACCAAAAATGAGGCCTCCATGGTTTTAGTATGTAGTATGCATGTTGGTACAAAGTGAGATACTTTGAAGGAATTTACAAATAGCAGCAATGCTAGCTTATAATCAGTGGTATTTAAAAGAAGACCAACTATTGCCTTCAGTGCAATGTATCTGGATTTCTGAATTAGCAGATGAAATACCTTTTGTACTGAAATCAATATAATATATGTAGAAATTGGGAAAAGGAGGCTTGAATTTAGATACATTCCAAGCCAAGATCCCAGAAGGGTCTTGGCCAAGTCACATTTGTTGTTATGCGCTATCAGGTCGACTCCAACCTATGATGACCCTAAGAAGTAAGGAGCTCCAAGATGACCTGTCCTCAAAAGCCCTGCTTGTAAACTCAAGCCTGTGGTTTCATTTAGGGAGTCAATCCATCTCATATTTGGTCTTCCTCTTTTCCTGCTGCCTTCAACCTTTCCTAGCATGATTGTCTTTTCCAGAGAATCTTGCCTTTTCATGATATGTCTGAAGTAGGACAGCCTCAGTTTCATCATGTTTGCCTCCAGAAATTGTTTAGACTTGATCTGCTCTAGGATCCATGTCCAGGGTGTCTACAAAGCTCTCCTCCAGCTCCATATTTCAAAAGAATCAGTATTTCCCATCAGCTTTCTTTACTGTCCAACTTTCACACCCATATATGGTGATCAAGAATGCAATAATGTGGAGGACCTTGGTCTTGCTCTCCAGTGACACATTCTTACACTTGATGATCTTTTTGAATTCCTTCATTGCTGCTTCCGAGTCTCAGTCTTCTTATTTTTTGGCTGCAGCCTCCATTAGGATTAATGATTGTACCAAGGTGTACAAAATCTTTAACATCCCAATTTCTTCATGACCAAGTTGCATAGTTCCTTAATCATGATTTTTATCTTCAGATGCCGTCTAGGTTTGTCACTTTCTTCTTTCAGTTTCATCAGAAGTTATTACAATTTATTGCTGCTTTTGCCAGTAGGATAATGTTATCTGCATATCTTAAATTATTGACGTTTCTTCCACCAATTTTCACTCACCCCTTCTTGGATAAATCAGGAAAAGGCCATAGGGTTGTGGAAACAAATCAAATGCAGGAGCATGTGATACCTTTTATCCTTTCTTGGTTGCAAATGCAGGAGCATGTGATACCTTTTATCCCTTCTTGGTTGCTCACCTTAAAGGGTTTGATTGTCTCAGTTCCAAGGTTGGGGACCACTGCCTTAAAGGGTTTGATTGTCTCAGTGAACCATTGCCATCAGGAGGCCAGACTCCATTACAAGCCTAGGCACTTAGAAGGGTCATCCAAGGTAGAGTTGTTGCAGCTGAGACAACAAGAGTAACAACTACATCAGCAGAAGAAAATGAAATGAAATAGAGTTTATTAGGGTCAAAACCCGGCACCGAACATATACAGTACAAAACAAAACAATATGTAATGTATATTATGCCATACACCACATCCACATAGTATGTAAAATTCATG